CGCCCCATAGGGGAGGTTTTGGATATTGGCCCCGGGACCCGCTGCTGCTACTCGCTGCCGCTGGTTTCTCACAGCTCCCTTCCCCAGCCCCTCACAGGGTGAGTGCACCCTAGTTGGGAAATTACCGAGATTCAGAACAGGGTGGAGCCTGAGAAATCGCAACTTTGGTGAACCCTTCCCCATTTTATAAACAAACAGGCTCAGGGAAATAATGGCACTTGCTCAAGGTCACACAGCAAGGTGGTGGAAACCAGGGCCATGGGCAGGATTTCTAGGAAATCTTTTCACACCCTCCTACCAAGACCCCTTCCATGAGCAGGGAACTTCTTCCCTCCAGCCCCACCTCCAACATCCAGGGAGAAAGCGGCTGGGACCACTTACTGCAGGCCCCGTGGAGCCAGGAAGGGCCTGTCAGGCCTGTTCCAGGAGCCTCCTGGGCCTCCCTGGACCAGCGGTCACCCTTCTGCCCTGATCCCACCTCAAGCCTGGGGATCCTTCAACAACAAAGTGAAAGAGGACAAACGGAGGTCTAATGTTGGCTAGAAGGGAAACCTCTGGTATTCCACCAGGACCTCCACCCATCCCCCTTCTCCCTTGGAAGTCAACACACCGCAAGAGTTTCTGCTCCTGAGCCTACACATGCAGACACCTGCTCCGTCTGGTCATTTCAGCACTGCCCTGAGCCCTTAGGCACTGCCTGTTTGCTCCCACTCACCTCTGTGGTCTCCAGCCCCCATTCTGCCCACTCAGAGGTCCCACCAGCCCCTCTCACTGTATCTTTCAGAAGGAGCCTGACATCTCTGCATCCCCCGCGAGACACCACCTCTGCTCCTGCTGCCCCGCATGCAGCTTTTCATTTTTTCCTGAAATCCTTTCTGGAACATCTCTAGAAGCCTCCTCTTCCTACTGCGGGCAACTATCCACACCCCATTGGTGCAGCAGACCAACTAAATATGCCCAATAACCTTTCTTCCCATGAAGAAAACTACCCCTTATCCAGCCTGTCCCTCCTTTTTAAGTCCTCGCTGTCCACCCGGGATGGAGGGTCTTCCTACAGTCCTGAGCTCATTCACTGATCAGGCCAGAATCGGCCAGAGGCGCCCACTCCCGCATGCAACCTCAACATGAGCGTGTCTGCAGCGAGCACTGGGTTTTCCTAGGCCATCTTGGGGGAGACGAGGCGTGGGCAGGACCCTGCCAAATGGCCCCACCCAGGATCCCCACCCCACTTCAG